ATCACTCTTACCTTTGTGGTACTCATGCTTATTTGCAGTGTTTATCTGCTTTATTTTTCATCCCAAAATTGTGCTGTATAAAACATTGATTTCTGTTCGGCTTACACTAATTTTTATTATTTTTAAGATGCAAATAAAAAGATCTGAAGAAATTAAAAACATATCCTTTCCAGTCTCTCTTTAATTAGGTGATCAAGATGTTCTCATGGTACAACATGGAATGCTGCATTTCTTATACAAGAAATGCATTTCTTGTAGATTCTTATACAAGATGGAATGCTGCATTTCCACAGATAAAAAATTATAGAGATTGAGTTTGAGCAACCCACCTTCTGAACGTTAAATTTCTCTTCAAACTTGTCAAAACAAACATTTACAATGTGCTTCTTTGCATAATTGAATTTTTGGCAGGTGGGTGACCCTGATGCAGACCATAAATGTTGGGACCGCCCAGAAGACATGACTGAGAAAAGGCCTCTCATACAGGTTAACACTTCTTTCCCGGGAAGTGATGTCGCAGCAGAAACTGCAGCAGCTATGGCATCAGCATCCCTGGTGTTTAAGCCCATTGACTCTACATATTCAGACTTGCTTCTGAAGCATGCGAAACAACTATTTACTTTTGCTGACAAATATAGAGGTTCTTACAGCATGAGCATTCCTGAAGTCCAGACATATTACAACTCAACAGGCTATGGAGATGAGCTCTTGTGGGCTGCTAGTTGGCTTTATCATGCTACAAAGGACAAATCATACTTTGATTATGCGACTGGAAAAAATGGCGAAGAGTATGCTAACTGGGGAAGTCCTACCTGGTTTAGTTGGGATAACAAGCTAGCTGGTACTCAGGTATTTCTTCATTCTTTCAGAGTCCGGATTTAAATTCTTTAATTGGTTATCGCTGGACACATTGAAGAACATCAGAATTCAGTCTACCAAGTTTACATGTGTTCTTGATTCTCCTTCTCATTGTAATTTGGATATGACAAGGCAAAGACTACAATTGTTCGACTGAATTCACGGATAGATGTAACACCAAAATTGTCCTGTATGACTTCATCATTAGGAGCTCATGACAAAAAGGCTGAGCTTTCCCTAGTATAGCACTCAAACTGATCTTAGTGATTGAAATTATGGATCTAAGAGATCTATGACTGATGCTCAAAATTTTTTTCTTTATATTTCATTTAGATACAGAAGATCAACACTTAATTGTGTTCTCTTATTGCAGAAGTTTGTTAGGTTTGCCATGAGATGAGCTATTTCAGCCTGATTGTCTAGCTTGTTATTTCTCTCCCACCAACCATATGTACACTAACAATGGTGTGAAAATGGTGTACAAATATAAAGGGGCCACTAATCAAAGTAGAGTTCTTTTTGGTTGGCCTTTTAGCTTTCTTTTCTTGTTATTTTTTATTTTTTGGGAAGAAGGGCGGTTGGAGCTGGTAGTGTGGTAAGGGGGTAAGGGAATGTGAATACATTTTGGATACAAATCATGAATTAATGAAGTTGTTGTGTGCCTTTACCGCAGGTCTTGTTATCCAGGATTAGCTTCTTTGGATCAAAAGATACTTCAAATTCTGCTACCCTCCAGAAGTACAGGGATTCGGCAGAGGCTGTCATGTGTGGCCTCCTTCCAAAATCTCCAACGGCCACATCCAGCAGAACAGACAGTAATCTTCATTTGATTGCCTTTTGACTTGGATAATTATGCTTCTCTTCTTCTTTATTTTTTTCAACATTCCTAAATGTGCTAGAAGACATCTTTCATACGTGCACATGGAGATACACCTATATAGACTCTTGCTCACCTCTAGCCCTTCTAAGGAAGGGTTGCATTTGCGAGAGATGTAGTTATCTCTCCCTCGCCAACTCTTTAGGTAAAATGTGTGTATCAAACAGAGACATCAATAGAGTAATTAATCTTAATTGCAATCTTCAAACAACTAAAAATTGCTATATACGCTCATCATAAATAAAAAAGGCTAGTGCATTTTGGGTGAGCAACCTCAATGTATCTGAACTGAGCAGATTAGAACTTAAAATTCTGTTATTGCTCACCCTCAAAGTTTTATAATGCAGGTGGCCTAATATGGATCAGTGAATGGAATGCTTTGCAGCATCCAGTGGCATCTGCATTTCTAGCTGTTGTATACAGTGATTACATGTTATCATCTAGGACAGCTGAAATATCCTGCGACAGCGATTCTTTTACACCAGCCGATCTACGCAAGTTTGCAATGTCACAGGTACACTTTCTGTTTTCATCATCTATACATATAAAACATTTACTTCTTGCATCAGCATGCAATGAATGAGCATCTTCCTTCACGTGTTCTCTTAATGCCCTAGTACCTAAGTGTGCAAGTGATTTTCCGGCTCTGTTTGTAGGCTGACTATGTCTTGGGTAACAACCCTGCAAAGCTGAGTTATCTTGTGGGTTATGGTGATAACTACCCAAAATTTGTGCACCATAGAGGGGCCTCAATTCCTATGGACGCAAAAACTGGCTGCAAGGATGGTTTTCAGTGGCTTGACTCTGATAAACCAAATCCAAATGTTGCGGTTGGAGCACTTGTTGGTGGACCTTTTATGAACGAGACCTATATTGATTCAAGAAACAATTCAATGCAAGCCGAACCAAGCACATACAACAGTGCCGTTATTGTTGCCCTTCTTTCTGGTTTGGTTACCACATCTTCAGTGGTGCAGTCTTTCACATAGGTTTATAGCTGGATTTAGGGGAAGCTATTGTATTATCCTATAGCTTATTCAGGGAATATATGCTGTCAAGTTCCCGGTTTGTATAGTATGCCATATTCAGATGACTGCTTTGTTGAACGGTGATTTCTCTCTCTCTCTCTCTCTCTCTCTCTCTCTCTCTCTATATATATATATATATATATATATATATATATATACAGACATCTCTGCAACTGGCATGAAATTTTTGTAGCAGAATTGTTTCATAGTTATTATACCCAACTAGAATGGCATTTTTTGTTCTGTCATCTCACACAGGTCTGGACGCAACTGTTCTACAAAACTTTTACTGCGTTTGGATTCAAATAAAGAAGCTGTAAAGTACCAGGACTTAGAAACTTCCTATTTCATGCTATTCTTTTTCAACCCTGGCTTTTGTCTTGGCTCTTTCTTTGACTTTTCCTTTGTGAGCGATATTGCATGTGGCTGGTCAATACAGGCTACAGCTAGCATAAAAAAACTTCAACCTGAGATGCTACTGCAGAAAAGAAATGAAGAAAAATGACTTGAACTAATGGAATAACGCAAGACGTCTAAAAACGCACAGGATGTCCTGGAGATTAGGAACATGTCCAAAATGTCCAATGGGAGGAATCCCTGGTAACTGACACATCTTATACCCCACCACCCTATTCACATTCAAAAAATACAAACTTCAATCATACATGCTCTAATCCCATTAGAGCAAGAGCAGCGCGGGTGTAATGGAGGCCCATTGCACCGCTCCATGACACGGTCTCCCATTGGAGCCGTGTCATGGAGATTACATGCATCATATCCGTTAGAATTACATGCATCATATCCGTTAGAAGGTGAAACCCATTATTAAATGTAAAATAATTCTAGTCACCAACGGTTACATTTAATTTTTGCTTCAACGGTAAATTTGCCAATACACAACACATTTTAGCTTTTCAACGGTTATATCCAACGGTTAGATTTTAGCCTTCTATATAAACACACAACACTTTTTTTAAAACATATCCCACTATCTCATTTTTAGAAAATAAAAAATTCAAAATGTAAAAAATTTAATGAAAGTTAGTACTTAATTTTTAAAAAATAACAAAATTATTTTTAAAAATTACTTTATTTATTTTTGGGATACGAGTTATGCATTATTAAAATAAATATTTGATTTAATTATGAACCCATGCTATTATATCTTATGGAGTATAATCCATTGTGAGTGAAAATATAAAGTGAAATACTGACGTGACGTATGAATTACACTCCACAAGGAGTAATAGCATATAGCATTGTGGATGCTCTCAGTGAATACCAGTGGCAATCGCATTTATTGTAGCATTAAACTTCAATGGTACCGGCTCCATTGCTGATGGTGCCTGGCACACACGGGCGCTAGCCGTACTGTAAGCGTAAGGTCCCATTTTGGTCTGGCAAATTAAAGATGGTAGTGTACTCTTTGGGCAAAGATTTCGCTCCTCTGTCTTATCCATTCATGGAGAATTATCTATCTATTCACCGGTCGCTCCTTTGTGCCAAATTCAGTACCAATTTCACTAATCATATCACATGATAGTAAAAAAAATTTAAATAAATAATATATGACAAATTAAATAAACAGAACATCTGACATAAATATAAAAGTGACACTGAATTACCACTAAAAAAGTGGCATTGAGGATCCTACGTGATCTATTCACTCGTCAATAATGCACTACTGTCCAAATTTTTCTGTAACAGATAAGAAGAATTACGCACACAGTAATTTACTGTCGGGATAGTTACAAAAATTCTCCTTAAAGTTTGGTCAAAGTTATAGCGTGCCCTAGTCAGGTCTATGTATGATTTAACCACTTTACGTCATAGGATAGGATTAAACTAGTGAGGACCTGGGTTCAGATCTCCTCCTCCTCCTAACTTCTTAAGCCCTACACATCTTGCTGAAATTTTAAAAAAAAAAAAAAAAAATCACTAAAGTCAGATTCAGTGCGTGACCATGAGGAAAGGACGTGAAGAGTGAGGAGAGGGTGAAAGAAAAATACCATATTAAATATCACAAAGGGACGCGAGGGTCTCATATTCAAATCTTCCATTCTCCTCTCCACTTTCTTCGTAGAATTTACCCTTCGCCTGCAGGAAAAAATAAAAAAATAAAAAACTTAGGCCAAATGAATGTTTGGATGATCGCGTTTAGCATCGATCTATGGATTCAAATTGTCGTCAACCGAATTAGAGATGCAGAGTGTTCAGCCTACTGAGGCAACCCAAAGTAGAAAGAGGATAGATGATTTGCACCGAGTAAAGTAGTCAGCCAGAGCAGTTCCAAGTCAAACATACAGAGCACTGCCAATCAATTCTCCAAACAAATACTCTATAAGTGTTATTGACAAACTTAGAGAATCTCCCCTTTTTTTACCAGGTTAGTGCTAACATTTCAAATCAATCAGAAAAGAAGGAGACGAAATTGAATAAAAACCTCTCCTACTGATCCGCAATATGATACCACAAAACAACCGTGGCCTCAAATGCTACAATTAACCATACGTACTATCTATCGTCCTACACATCTTGCTCTGGACTCTGCAGGAGTAAAATGTTCCCTGTTGACTCTGCCATTCATTCTTGTGGATGATCCATCATTCGTATCGTATGTACGGTCAAATAAAGACTTGACATTTGAGTTAAAATTACCCCTTCAAGCCGACGGGGACCGTCAACGAGCAATGTCCGATTTTTTTGTGTATACCAATTGCTGCTCCATCTCCCAGCTTAGCTTGGAAGCAACCCCGTTATGCTTTGGAACATACTGCTGCTCCATTCAAAATTGATGAAGAGTAGTATTTAATAATTCAATAAAGAGTTTTTTTTTTTTAAAAAAAAAAAACAAAAGAAAATTGACGTCCAAAATTACTTCATACTACTGGATAGGAACTGTTTCAATTTTATTAGGAGTGGTATAAATCTTTGCGGATCAGAGTCCTCTCCAATTAGAACTATCAAAGTGTACGAATTTGTACCTCAAGCTTGGAGATGAGTTCATGAGCAGTTTGGGCAGAGACGATTATATGACGAGCAGAGGGAGTAATGAAGCCCTCATCCACAGCTTTGTCTATGAAAGACAAAAGGGAATTATAATACCCGTCCACATTCAGCAAACCTACCTGAACAGTAAGGAAGTGGTACGCATTTTAAACCAATAATCATCAGTAACAATCCAAAACCTCTTTTTTTTTTTTTTAATTCCATTTAAATAAATTTATCAAACCCAAAATTGTCGTGTAGTAGTAGTAGTAGTATCTTCTTCTAATCTAATAACTAAAAGTACAAGGAAGGTGTTTGACAAAAAAAAAAAAAAATGAAGCCGTCCACTCCTCCTCGTTAAACGTAATTGTAATTGGAGGGAGCAGCGACGATGAATCGGAAGATCATCATCACGTTCGGAGATTAGAAGATGGAAATGGATAGAAGATTCCAATTTGGACTTTAGTGGCATCTCCTTTTAGTGAATAACAAAATCAGATTAATTTAACTTGTAGTAGTAATCAGATTAATTTTGTTTAGTAATCTGATTAATTTAACAATATCACTTCTGGAAAGTAGTAATTGTAAATACCGGTTTGTCATGGATCCCCAGTTGAGCCCAAGTGATAACTTCTAGGAGCTCCTCCAAGGTGCCGTAGCCACCTGCATGCGCAGTAAAAGACTGGGAGTTGGCACAACGACAATTTTAAAGCGTAATATTGGAGTCCCATTAGCTGTTTCCCCATTTGTGGTTTGGTTGGGTGCACAGTTATTGATGGAGAGATTTTGATCGCTTCTACAGATGTGGCATGGATTGTCTAGTGTCAATTCCAGAAACTGTTAGGAAAAGCAACTAACTAAAGAAAGACTCTCTCTCTCTCTCTCTCTCTGATAACAACGTCGTTCGTGCTCTGCTCTCGCACATCAATTTTTTGGTCCTTAGTTGCCACACACTAGCGGCCACATGGATGATGCAGTTACGCTTACGCTCACTCTCAAAGCAAGTAAAGTAATACGGGCAACACACAATCAAGTTCAACAACATACGATGATGATGATTGTGGTAAAAGTAAAACCACACCAGAAGATGAACGATGCATATACTATACTATCCATATATAGAGAGAGAGAGAGAGAGAGAGAGAGAGAGAGAGAAGAGAGAGAAGAGGGATAATTAATTAATTAAATTAAATTAAATACCAGGTAAGGCTATAAATGCGTCTGCCAGTCGAGCCATTTCAGCTTTTCTTTGGTGCATTCCAGTCACAGGCCTCACCTCTCCAACAGTCTCTCCGGTTATCTGAATTAATGCGTTGGACCCGTACGTTAGCCAATTATGCATGCTTCCTCTCTTTTCTACGTTTTTTTTTTTTTTTATTCTTTTCTTTTTTAAAAGCAATCATGGAAACGTAAAAGGTTGAAATAAAAGTTATGTATGTAGCTTGAAAAGAACTGAAGATATTCCAAGAAATCTTCTTGTGTAAAAAGAAGAAAGAAACAACTATATATATTGATCAATCAGCATAGCAATCAATTCTAATCATAGGAGTGCGATCACTTTGACCGACCGACTCGTGTCAAAAATCAGAAGATGACAGGCCAAAACCTAATCCTAACCGACCGATAAATGTTAAGCGATAATGCATGACTCATTATCCAAAGTGCAAGATACACATACAAATTTATTTTATTTTTTTTTTAAAAAAAAAAGGGTGCAAGGTACACATGAATTTGGACACCAAAATGTACCCAAGTTCGTTACTACCGGAAAGTAACAGCTCCAATTACCTCTCTGGGCATAAGCGTTATGGGAATCACCCTGTGGAAAAAAAAAAATTGGAAAATTTTTTGCACAGGATATCAGTTCACCAGAAGAAGAAAGAATGAAAGAGAGGAGGAAATCGAGACGGATTCACCCTAACACGTGGCGGCCACCATTGAAGACAGCTTGGGAGACTAATCCCATCAACCCAATGCTTCCACCTCCATAAACAAGGTCAATGTTCCTTTCAACCTGCCAGTATTATTAAATTTTTGAGTACTGCTACTTTTGCTGATAATTTTTTTTGCATTACTTGCACGAACACGCAAATTTTAATTTCAATCGACCGCATAAATAATAATGTAATGCTTCACGTTAATCTTGCCGATAATAACATTTCATTTTTCCCAATTATCTATGCTCGTATTTTAATGCCATGCTACCAACCGATCCAGCCTAGAGTAGTCACACAGGACACACCCCCTGATAAGAATTATAGGCTTAAGCAGCAAGTTAGTAGCTTTTGAATGAAGTCAGGATGATATAGCATAGGGGGGAAGTTGAGGTTCGTTTCGTTAGTAGCGTTTAAGTAGGTGAAGGTGAAGAATAGCTAGGGAGAGAAAATGGAGAATTAGCAACAAATGAGTTGAACAAAACAACTGAAAGTGAGTAGTAATATTAATCATGTCAAGAATAAGCAGAAGAGTTGTGGTTATAGGATGCATATGTATGCGAGCCGCCCGAGTACGTAGCTGCGCATAATATGCCGATGAAGACATGGCAAGTTAAGCAAAGCAAAGCAAAGATATGTTTGTGTGTGTGCGTGTGTGCGTGTGTGTGTATATATATATATACATACCAGCTGATTGGCGAGGTGAATAGCAGCCAGCTGGTAACTGGGATTCTTGCCAGGACTGCTGCCACAAAAAACACATACGCGCTTGAATCTGGAGGCTTTGGTGGGCTGCAGAGGTTGGGATTGGTGGTTGTTTTCCATAAAGAAAATCTCGCAGTTTATTTTTTTTCTTCTGTTTGGATGCTTCAAACACAAGCCTGTGGTACTTTCTGAGGACCCCTATCTAAGTTCGTGTGATCAAAGAGAAACGAAGATGGATGTAGATTGTGGACGCCGAAAAAGATATATGTTGAGAGTTGGCTCGATTGGGTTGGGGGTTTGGTTTTGGACCAGGAGCAGGAGACGTTATTGGTGCGTGTGTGTGTGGGGGGATCATGGGATTGAGTTGGGTATGGGCATGTGTGGGTGTTAGAGCAAGTCAGCAAGTTTTCTCCTTTTGACAACACCGCAGCCAAAAAGTAAGGGAGGGAGGTATCGCGTATCGGAAGGAATTATGGAATGAATGTAGAGAATGAAGGGATGGTATGGGGGATTACGGAGCTTGCTACTAGCCTACTAGCCAGAGTCTTGTTTTATAGTATCCAGATACCGCTCTCTCTTTTATTTTATATATACTATATGCCATCCATATACGTCGTCCACTTATTGTTCTACACTTGGCCGAATTGAAACATTCAACTCAAGCTTGGAAATGGTGTCGTTTTCAACCAAAAGGCAAAAGCTTCAAAAATGGGAGGGTTGGTTTGTCCTCGTTGGCTTGGGACCCCCTACCCGCCCTCCATTTCTTCAGTTCTCCCATTAAAATTTACTAGCACCACTTCTACCCAAGTTATAAAAGAAATAATTGTTTTTGTATTTCCGAATTAGTTTTTGTTATTGCTTCTCTTGCTTCTTTATCATTGATTAATATTGACGAGTAGTCGTGCAGATTCTCTGAAGCAATTAAGTTAAGAGGTGAATTTCTTTTCTTTGTTTTTGTTTCCTTCTTTCTCAACACATCTTGATTATTATGAGGTTGGAAGGGGAGAATTGTACTCCGAACCTCTAAAACAAACAAGCTAATAATGATTCTTTCTTTGATATTGAGATTGAAACTTTTGAACCACCCTCAAATTGGATCTTGTGTAGGCACAAGTATCTGCATCCGTGATCACAAAGAAATTGAAAAATAAAACGTAAAGGGGGATGGTATATGAAAGTTGTAACTCATAATTCTCCAAACAAGTGAGGCGTGGACTTCACATGACAATGTTTGCAATGGGGTACCAACCAGAAAGGCAACTACGCGTTCCCTTTCCTCCTCAAACGCCAAACAAGAAGTAAAGCTGAGCATTGATCATTGAAATTTTGCGAGTATTTTACAGCGCAAATTAGTCCGATGAATGAAGGCGTGGGGGAAATCCGAGTTCACACAGCAACAGTCATGTGTAAAATTGGAATGGAGCAGAGGGATTGATAGCGAGTGGTGGACCGGGCGAGCTGCTGAATGATGTGGTGATGAGCGTCTATGCCACTGAGAAAATGCACGTGTCCATACTGCACCTTCTGATGTTGAAGGTAAAATCTCCATCTATCTGTGTTCATTGTTCACTGCCTGAACCTTCCAACTCTACTAAACGGTGCTTGCTCCTACCATTGACAATTGCAGACCAAACCGACCTATCATAGAAAGATAAAGCAGGCCAACTTTAGGAACGTACAGCATATTCGCCTTTGACAAGGATATTATTTGGTCAAACTAGGCATGCCAATGGGTCGAGTTTTATTCAAATTTAATTCAGATTTAATATATTTAGATTTAATTTGTCGAACTCAAACCTTATCCAGATTCAAACCTAGCCTTATAAGATAATCATGGATTTAGAAAGGGTCTGATTTTTTATTATTCAGACTCAATCCCAAATACATACTGGATCCTACCCAAATTCATGTATAAATGAATTATATATATATATATCAATAAATTTATAAAATAATAGAATATTCTATGTCATTGTAATTGACGCAAACAAATGAAAGATTGAATGTAAATGTAGACGATGCTTTGAAAATAAATAGTTATGATTGATAATAGTTCTTTACTTCAATTTATAATATTGCATTCAAAATCTTGAACGTTAATTTTTATTATTTAAAAATAAAAATTGGATGGTGTTTGTATTATATTTGAACTCTAAATATTTTCAAAATATTTTTAGTTTAGTTCTTTACTGTATATTCCGAAAAAATATTCACAGATGCCTATTAGATACCCAAATCTATGAGGGTTTGGGTTTGAATTTACTTTTTCAGATCCATAAGGGTTTGGGTCCGGATCTAGGTCTAGCTAAATTTAGGGAGTGCTTGGTTGGAGGGTATAGGAATCAAGAATTGGATTGAATCCCAAAATTGTTGCTTGGCTAATGGGTATAGGTTTTGAAATCTTGGAATGATTCATGAAAAATCAGTCACTCTCCATACCCAAGTAGATTGGAGGGTTTTGATGAATCCCACATTTGATTCCAAAATCTTTTTAAAAAAAATTATTTTTGGGATTTTTTAAAAATATATACTGGCTCTGTTTCTATATATTAATATTTTTTATTTATATATATAATATTTTTTATTTCAATTTTGTTTTATAATATGTATATTAATATATATTTAATATATATATAAATATATATATATATTAATATACATATTATAAAAAAATTGAAATATATATTTATAAATATTTATACTTATATATGAATATATATATATTTATTTCAATTGATATAATATATCTAATATACATATTAATATTAATATAATTTATATATATAATAAAATATAAATATTAATTGAAATATACATATTATAAAACAAAATTGAAATAAATATATTTATATATTTATAAAAATATATATAAATAAATTTATAAAGATATATAAATATATTTTAAACAAAAATATTTATATATAAATATATATTATTTATTTCATTTGATATAATATAATAATATACATAATTGAAATATACATATTAATATTACTATAATTTATATATATAATATACATAATTGAAATATACATATTAATATTTATTAATATACATATTATAAAACAAAATTGAAATAAATATATTTATATATTTATAAAAATATATATAAATAAATTTATAAAGATATATAAATATATTTTAAACAAAAATATTTATATATAAATATATATTATTTATTTCATTTGATATAATATAATAATATACATAATTGAAATATACATATTAATATTACTATAATTTATATATATAATATACATAATTGAAATATACATATTAATATATATTAATATACATATTATAAAACAAAATTGAAATAAATATATTTATAAATTTATATAAATATATAAATAAATATATTTATATATTTATATAAATATAAATATAAATAAATGTACAAATATAAATATAAATAAATTAATAAATATATATAAATATATTTTAAACAAAAATATTTATATATAAATATATATTATTTATTTCAATTGATATAATATATATAATATACATAATTGAAATATACATATTAATATTACTATAATTTATATATATAATATACATAATTGAAATATACAAATTAATATATATTAATATACATATTATAAAACAAAATTGAAATAAATATATTTATAAATTTATATAAATATATATAAATAAATATATTTATATATTTATATAAATATAAATATAAATATTTATAAATATATTTTAAACAGAAAATTAATATTTATATATGAATATATATATGGTGGATGGGTACGTGGGATAAGCATTTGAACGAGAAAGAAGAAAGATATGAAAAGAAAAAAGAAATTAAAGGTAAAAAATTGATTATTAAATTTGATACCCATTCCTTACCAATATTTACCAAGCACCCCCATTTGTAATCATACCTTTGTCCAAAACCCATACTAATTTTTTGTAAATGATTCCAATTACAATTCCGATTCCTAAACATGAACCAAGCGGCCCCTTAATGGATCTGAATTTGGATCAAGGGGGGTCTAATCTAAACCTTACCCATTAATATGCTTAAATCAAACGTTATAGAGTTTAACTACTACAATACTCCACTGTTAAAATCGTTTTTTTTTTTTTTTAGCCTCCAACGTTATATTTGTAGCCATATAAATTTGAATTCCCATCTATTTGGTGCCCGAATAAGAAATGAGTCTCGTGTTATATTTTTCCTATAATGATAAATTTAAAATTTTGATGGAGCCCTCTTCTTTGCTTTTTTGTTCTTTGGTATATATGGTGCTTATCATTTGCTTTAAGCCACCAAATAGAAAAAACTATTCGAAAGAAAAAAGATGCTGTTGAAGATAGTTTAAACATGTTAGTAAAAGCTGATATATATATATATATATATATATATATGTATATGTATATGTATAACCTAGAATGTACAGAACATACATATTGCGTATTATCGCCCTCGGGAGAGAGTACGGGAAGGGAAAAAAAAACACACAGTTTTGAGCTTTGCTTAATGAAAGTAGAGGCTGGATAAGTAGTCAGTCGGACCACATAGTTGCGATTCAGTTATACTGTGGAAAGCAATTTTTATCAACCTGACCAGCCCAACTCGAGCTTTATAATGAATCTGCAATTAGTTCTCAGAGACAAATCCTAATCAAAATTAAAATTTAGATGTGGTGCATATATAATAATGCAATTGATACAAAAATGCTATTCATCATGTCCAATGGCATAAGGATTAACACGTATGTGGACGCGTGACGCATTCAAACATCCATATATAGCTTTAGCATTCTGGTCAAGAGATGCTAATTAATATACAGGACCAAGCAAATTAATTAGTAGAAGATTGTCTACAATCACTTAATCTATTAATGATATGAATCCCATGTACGAAATAGCGCTCTGAAACATGATGGATATGGTCCAACATATGTGCTGGCTTACTTCTCTACATCATCAGCACTCAGATATATGTGGTTTCGCGTTGTCATTAAATTCGTTTTTTTTTTTTTTTGGCACCTAAGTGATTTTAGACTTCTAAAATAAGCCTTTAATTATTCATTGAAACGAGTGTTCGAATCGGTAGTTTGCTTCTCCACCCTTTTTAACTTTCTAAATAAAGTATAAGTGCTATAGTATTGTAGTTGTCGCTGCAATATTAATGCGCTTTGAAAGAATTCTCCATCACCTTTGAAAGAATTCTCTCGTGTCAACTCAGTGCTAGGTTCATCTGAAAGAGTCCAAGACTTCACACTCTGTCGTGAGTCGTGACTTTTTACCTGCCATGCATGGGCTTGTAAAGGCTAACTAACTTTTAATCATGTTCAATTTAGACCACTTGGTTGCGATTTTCTTTTTTACTATTTCTTGGCCTCTGAAAAGTCACTTGTAACGCCTCAATAGCATATAGTTAGAGGCTTAAAAGGGGAAAAAAAAACATCTTAATGCTAAATATCTAGTGCAGAACCCTTTAATAATAATCAATGCGTGCAAGGTTACAGAATTGTAGGGATAAAACAGACACTAAAAATAAATGTGGGAGAAAATAAAATAATTAATTCACAATATTAAAGTCAC